AAATATATAGCATCTCCAAGCTTTAATAATTAGTTCAATTAATTGGTTCAATCTCAAATTTGACATTACAGAAATGGAGTTATTTAGTGTTATCAGTTCGTGGAGAGCGGAAGGAAATGGCCCGGTTTCAAATAAAGCGCCCTTTCTGCTTCACTAGCTGCGATTCTGCAGCTGATGTGCTTATTTTAAAAGGCTTACTGTTGTGCAAAGCACTTTAAATTGGGCCAAACCCGTATTTTGGAAGTAACACTCTTCATACCTCTACCAACAAGGTGATTACAGAAACGCTTGATAATGGATTAAGTTATAAGAGCCCTGGTGAGATAACACTTATATATTCCATGAAGGTCTAGATTATGATCGACAATTCATGTTTGAATAAAGTTTCCGAACATTTTGATAATTCGAATATTCAATATTCGATTACTCGAAAAGAAGATTTGTTCCATTCTTTGAATAGTCTCTTCTAGTAATAAGTATTAGTAGCCATTATAATAATCTATTCGAAAAATCGAATAAATCCGTTTTTCCGAGTATTCAAATATTGACTATTTAAATAATAAATGTTCGAGTACTTTATTCGAACACGAATTCTCGGTCTCAACTATAACCTCAAACCTCATGGAACATACCTCTATGATAGTGCGAAGTTCTCTGAAAGAGAGGTGAAGTATTGGTAAACTATAGTATACGATATATAAAGCTCAGATTTAACAAGGTTAATGAGAAATGACATAACTTCTGTGCAAATTATGTTGTTTTTGTTCTTAAAAAAGTTGACACTATTTTCTTCCCAAAAAACTATCATTTTAAACGGTTTGGCTTATTCTCAAAAGCAATATCATCGCCCACTTCTTCGTTTACATAGACTGTCGAAGGAGAGTCAAAATATCAAAGTTTGAACTTTCGGAAAAAACTATGTACCTATTTAATCATACTTATCTTTCATACTTATCTTGTTTGAGCTGATGTTGCAGTGATAATGTTGTTCTAGAAGATAATCTCTATTCAAATTTTGCACTTTTCATTTCTTCTGAACGCGGATATATTGATCACTAAAACCTAAAAATCTGAAATTCCTTGAGGATGCAAGAATTTTTGGATTTTTTGGAATAACTGGATGAGTTGCAGCAAGCTGAACTTTGTGTTCCAAGTTGGCTCAATCTCCTGCTAGAAGCTAGTGCTGGGGAGTAGGAGCATGCACTGCTGGAGGAAGAATTACTGAATGGCGTAGCGACCCAAGAGAGCGTTGTAACAAATGTGGAAACCAAATTAGCAAAAGATTTTATACTGGAAAATTGGAGTAAGTGGAAACGCCTGAACATTGCCTCAAATGCTAACTTCTCCTAAATATTAATAAGGCGAAACTCCTGAAAACTTGGAAACTGCAAAAATTGTAGGTGGCTTCAAACTACCAAAATGTGAATCGTCAGAACTGACTACACCTACCTGGCCCATAATATCGGGAATTTTTCAGACTTTCAATCAAATCTGTATAGTTGCTATCGGTGCCTGTAAAGATCTCCTCGCCCTAGAATAGTTTCGTAATTTACTAGGACTTAAATAGGGTACAGGGTTACCAGTCTGCAAGGTTTGAAGCTTTTGTTCAAGGAATATAAGAGTATTTGTAATATAGTTGCAAAATGATGTTCGGCAATGAGTAACACAATAAGAGGAGCAATTAGAAGACATTAAAATGGCCTGTCGACAGGATATTCTCTCTCGTATAAAACGAATAACGGCGCTCGTTTAGAACTTCTGCAGACATCCGGTAACGTTCAAATCGTGATAGTCCCGCTCTCACCGAGTAGAAAATTGTCATGTACTCGTTGAATTTCGCGACGTTCTCGATGGGAGTGTTACTTTCGTTGGTCATGATGTTGCACATGTCCGGTATGCCATGACCATTAGCATATCCCTTGAAAGGAACTACCGTATATATTGAATTTCGAAGGGGAAAAAGTTTTCAAGCGTATTTACAGAAAATCAAACCTTTCTGTTGTCTCCGCTATACTGTACAGCACCTTGGAATTGACCGTAGATAATAGAAAAGAAGTACTGCAAATCTATGCTAGTTAGATTAGTCTCTTGAGTCCATTTTGGATTCAATCTATAATTAGAATCTTTTCATTAATTTGAATTCTATCAAAGTTTTCAATGAGACAACATGTGGCTGCTATACCAGCCGCACGAAAATAAGGCTCAAATTTGTGCAAGTTGTCAAAAAGAATGCGCTCTTGATTTGCCTAATGCTTGGACGAAGAAGGTACTACTAATCTGTCAAAAGCAACTGCTTCTACTTACTATTAAAAATATAATAAAAATCCCATGTACTATAATGGCATAACATTGCAAAGGCACAGTTGGTAAGGACTTTGGTAAAAATCCTATTGCACTGCATCTCTTGCAAGACCCAGTTACCAAAAATCACATCCAATCACCCAGTCTTTCTCAAAAATTGTTTTGTAGTACATTGTTTTGCGGAGAAAAGCTCGATTTCTAGTAGCTGACTTTCTTTTTAACTGCAACACTCACGTAAATAGTTTAGATAACTTCTCCCGTCCGGCAGCACTTAGAGCAAGCTGATGCATCTCCTCAAAGCCCTGAAATTAAACTCATGGAACCT